TAGGTGATTCTTGGTTGTAATCCTATCTCCTTTGCCCTCGGGCTATTATATTCCATGCCCTGCGGTCCCTTAATGTAGAAGCAGCTAAATCTTGTGTTATCCTGATTGTGTTTCTACAGTACTTGAATTTTTTCTTTCTGGCTGCTTGTAATATTTTCTCCTTGACCTGGGAACTCTAGAATTTGGCTACAATATTCCTAGGAGTTTTCCTTTGGGGATCTCTTTCAGGAGGAGATCGATGGATTCTTTCAATTTCTATTTTGCCCTCTGGTTCTAAAATATCAGGGCAGTTTTCCTTGATAATTTCTTGAAAGATGATGTCTAGGCTCTTTTTTTGATCATGGCTTTCAGATAGTCCAATAATTTTTAAATTCTCTCTCCTGGATCTATTTTCCAGGTCAGTTATTTTTCCAATGAGATATTTCACATTGTTTTCTAATTTTTCATTCTTTTGGATTTGTTTTGCAGTGTCTTGATTTCTCATAAAGTCACTAGCTTCCAATTGCTCTATTCTAATTTTTAAGGAAGTATTTTCTTGAGTAATCTTTTGGACTTCCTTTTCCATTTGTTCAGTTTTGCTCTTTAGGGCATTCTTTTCTTCATTGGCTTTTTGGACCTCTTTTGCCATTTGGGTTAGGCTATTTTTTAAGGTGTTATTTTCTTCAGTATTTTTTTCGGTCTCCTTTAGCAAGCTGTTAACTTGCTTTTCATGATTTTCTTGCATCACTCTCATTTCTCTTCCCAGTTTTTCCTCTACATCTCTTAGTTCTCAAAATCCCTTTTGAGCTCTTCCAAGGCCTGGGACAGATTCATATTTTTCTAGGAAGTTTTGGATGTAGGAGCTTTGACTTTGTTTTCTTCTTCTGGTTGTATGTTTTGATCTTCTTTGTCACCAAAGTAAGATAATATAGTCTGACTCTTTTTGTGCTGCTTGCTCATGATCCCAACCAATTACTTGAGTTTTAAACTCTTTATTAAGGTAAGAGTCTGTTTCCAATGTGGAGAAGGTACTGTCCCAAGCTTTGGGGGTTTGTACAGCTGTTTTCAGAGATACTTCTAGAGATCTGAAAAGTGTCAGTTCTTCCAAGGTGCTATGATAAGGGGCGAGGTGTTTCCTCTCCACAGCCACAACAAGCTTCACCACACCAGCGTTCCTTCTAGCCCCAGGACCACCCCTCAGAACTGTGACCCAGATCCAAGCACCAGTAAAGCAAGAGATTCCTGCCTCAGCCCTGGCAAAGAGATCCTTGCAATCCCCCTCTGATCAGCCACTGGATTCCCCCTCAATCTGTGGGCCAGAAGCTCAGAAGCCAGCCGCTGCCCTCGGGGCGGCTGAGATCTAGCTTCTCTCACCACAGTAACAGACTTTTCCCACTGACCTTCTATGTTGTCTTTGGTGTTCATGGGTTGAGAAGTCTGGAAACCACCACAGCTACCGAGATTTAGTCCTCTGAGGCCTGCTCCAGGGTCACTGCAGCCTGCGCACCCACGCCAAGCTGCGCTCCTCTCCCAGCCTGGCGCGATATACCTTTCCAATCAGCCATCCAGGTTGTCTTGGGCTGGAAATTTGTTTTACTCTGTTTTTTTGTGGGTTCTGCTGCTTTAGAATGTGTTTAGAGCCATTTTTTGTAGGTATTTGGAGGGGTTTGGGGGACAGCTCTAGCAAGTCACTGCTTTCCCTCCGCCATCTTGGCTCCACAAGTAGTCAGCATTTATTAAGTGCCTATGTTAGTTTTTGTGCTAATCACTAAGGATTCAAAGGTAAAAGAAAGTCCCTGTTTTCAAGGCATTCACAGTCTAATGAAGGAGACCGCGTGTAACAACGACATACAAACAAGATGTACACAGGAGAAACTGGAGATAATCAGTAGAGGGAAAATACTAGGGGATCAGGAAAGGCTTTTGGAAGTCAAGTCAGTGAACATTAAGGGCCTAATGTATGCCAGGGACTAAAGATACAAAGAAAGGCAAAAGACAGCCCTTGCTCAATCAGATGGAGAAGACAGCGTGCACAAACAAGCGCAATACAGGATCAGTAGGAAATAATCAACCAAGGGAAGGTTTTATAATTAAGAAGGATTGGGAAGGGCTTCCTGGGGAAGGTGGGATTTTAGCTTGGGATTTCAGGGAAGCCAGGAATCGGAAGATGAAGAGGAAGGAATAATATTTTAGGAATGGGGAACAGCCAGTGACAACACTCTTGAATGTGAAGATGGAATATCTTGTTTGAGGAATAGATAGGAGGCCATTGTGAGGCCAAAGGAAGAATAAAATTTTGAAGATTAGTAAGTTGAAACCACATAATTAAAATTACATACATATATATATGTGTATATATATATATATATATATATATATATATATATATATGCAAAGGTGAAATACTAGATTTCCCAATAAATAAAGAAATACAGGAATAAACTAAGTATTCATATTTTTTATTTTTCTATTATTTTTATTATTTTTCCCTCAATTACATATTAAAACAATTTTAAACATTTTTTAAAAAAGTTTTGAGTTCCAAATTCTATCCCTCCCTTCTTCTCTATCCTCTTTGAGACAATAAGCAATCCAATATAGGTCATATATGTGCAGTCATGTAAAACATTTCCCTATTAGTCATTTTGTGCAAGAAGACTTGAACAACAACAAAAAGAATGAAAGAAAGAGAAAAATAGTATGTTTCAGTCTGTATTCAGACAATATCACTTCTTTCTCTGGAGGTAGATAGCATGTTTCATCATGAGTCTTTGGGATTGTCTTGGATGATTGTATTGCTTAATTGCTAAGTCATGCACATTTCTTCATCGTACAATACTGTGTACAATGTTCTGGTTCTGCTCACTTCACTTTGCATCAGTACATGTAAGTCTTGTGGTTTTTCCGAAATCATCCTGCTTTTAATTCCTTCAGCACAGTAGTACTCCATCCCAATAATATACCACAGCTTGTTCAGCCATTGCCCGATTGATGGGCATCTCTCCAATTTCCAGTTTTTAGTCATCACAAAAAAACTTTATAGCTGTTGTACATATTTTTGTACAAATAGGTCCTTTTCCCTCTTTTTTTTTAATCTCTTTGGTCTACAGACCTAGCAATGGTATTACTGGATCAAAGGGTATGCATGGTTTGATAGTTTTTTGGGGGGCATAGTTCCAAATTACGCTCCAGAATGGTTAAATCAGTTCACAACTCTACCAACAGTGCTTTAGTGTCCTAATTTTCCCATATCCCCTTCAACATTTATCGTTTTCCTTATTTAGTCACATTAGCCAATAGGATAGGTGTGAGGTAGTACCTCAGAGTTGTTTAAATGCATGTATTTCTAGAAATGCTAGCAATAGCAACAAGATGAGAAAAAGATACAGAGGGGATGATATAAATCCTATTTCCTGTCAACGTGATGATTTATTTAGAAAATCCCAAAGGATCAAGAAATAAACTAATTGAGACAGTAGCCCTTAATAATAGATCAAGATACAAAATAAACTCCACAAAATTTTTATATTTTTATTTAGCAATTACAAAATTCAGAAGAACATAACAGGAAGGGAAATCCTATTCCAAATAACTACAAAATGCATAAAATGTCTGGGGCTTAATTTACCAAGAGTATAATCAGACTTATATAGATATAAAGAACAATTTAACTAGAGGGATGATCAATGCTTATGGCTGGTGCCAATATAATAAAAATTACAATATCTAAATTAATTACAAATCAAATACTATATCAATCAAACTACCAGAGGATACAGTATAGAACTAGATAACATTAATCTGGAGGAACAAAATATCTAGAATCTTAAGGGAAATAATGAAGAAAAGTAGGAACCAAATGAGAATTAGTACTTCTAGACTTCAAATTATACTACAAAGCAATATTCAAATCAGTTTGGTTCTGGTATAAAAAACGTTAAAGTAGAATAGACTAACAAGTAGAAAACTGAATCAGCAGCAGTTGGACTTGATAAACTGCAGGATGTTAATAATTTGGAGAGGCTACCTATTTGATAACTGCTAGTGAAACCGTTAATAACTAACAAGTTAGTGAAGCTTGTTAGAAATTAGGTTGATAGCAACAACTTATATACTACAAAGCTCCAAATAGATAGGTGACTTGAATATATTAAAAGTCAAACTATAAAAAACTTAGAAGAGAATCAGATCAGATATCTACATTTTACAGTATGGAAGAGTACTGTATGGTGAAGAGTTCTTTTTTTGTTGTGTTTTGTTTTGTTTTGTTTTTTAATTTTTTTGAGTTCTTAACCCCACAAAAGATAAAACAGGTAAGTTCAGTTATAGTTTTGGCATCAGTGCCTTATTGAAATGAGTTAAATTGGTTCCCTTTTTAATGTTATGGCATATCTTCTCTCATTCTTCCTCATAATTTGGTACTAATTTTTTATTTCTGTTCTAATAAATTAGTGGTCTTACTATACACACACACAGGTAATTCATAAGTAACTCCTGTGTAGCATAATGATAATGGGGCTTACGTACAAGATTGATGCCAAATGTGTTTTTAAAATGTCTTAGTCATTCTGTTATTTTAACAGTGCTCACTGAAACTTAGTCCCTTCCATGTGGTTGTGACAGCCAGTAAGTGAGCTAGATAATTAGTATTGGATTGGGGGTGTCATATACCAGCTCATATGATACACCACAGTTTTCAATACAACAAGTAAAATTTACCTACAGTTTTTATTCTTTTTTTTTTTTTGATGAGTTTTTTTGGGGGGGGTTGTTGTTTGGTTTGGTTTTGTTTTTTTTTTTGGCTATGCAATAGGGTTAAGTGACTTGCCCAGGGTCACACAACTAGTGAGTGTTGTGTCTGAGGCTGGATTTGAACTTAGGTCCTCCTGACTCCAGGGCCAGTGCTCTATCCACTGTGCCACCTAGCTGCCACCCGAGTTTTTATTTTCTTTAAGAAAAAAGATACTGCTTTTCAAAGTTTTATCTAACATATGTCTTAAAATTGGCATTCTAACTTTTAGGACCGGATAATTGATGCTGGTCCCAAAGGAAACTATTCCCGATTCATGAATCACAGCTGCCAGCCAAATTGTGAGACTCTGAAATGGACAGTAAATGGAGACACTCGTGTGGGATTGTTTGCTGTATGTGATATTCCTGCAGGTATGGTAGATTTGGGGTAAAGACCTCATTGCCAGCAGTTGTGAACAGGCCCAGGGAAGTTCAGTCAATTCTAACAATTTACCATTTTTAAAGCACCAATTGTCCCTGGGCAATTCCCCTGACCTCCATCAGCCCTAGTTTCCTCATCTGTAAAATGTAGATCATAACAATAATCTACCTCCCAAGGTTGTTGTGAGGATCAAATGAGATAATATGTGTAAATCACTCTGCAAAACTTAAAAGTACTATCTCAATATTAGCTGTCATTATTATTATTAATTACACAGTTTAGATTAGCCTTGGTTCCTGTTTCCGTGGAGCTGATAGTTTAGCAAAGGAATAACACATAACATTAAGTAAGTGTAGAACCCAGTAATACATAGAAGTTAGAAGTATAATATTTCTTGTTGCTTAACTAAAGGTTACATATAGTTAATCAATTAACATTGCTATTTACTTTCTTGCTCAAGAATATGTATTATCATTGGGTCTGGCAAAGTTTAAAAAAAAAAAAACCATTGCCCAGCCAAAGCTACTCTACATGACCATCTAAGGTAAAGCACGAATGGGGTGAAATACAATGTTATATAAAGCCTGATGTGGGAGTATCAGCCAAGATCATTTTCCAATAGGAGCAGTCAAAGACTTCATGGAGGATATGACATTTGAATTGTGATTTAAAGGGAGGTAGCCTAGGATGACATGAAGAGGCTTAGGAGACAGCAGGAACAAATTCACAGAATATGAATGGAAGTGCCATGAATATACGTTGTGTAGTAAGCTGATATAACCTTGAAAGGTAGCACGTACCAAATCGTGGATGGTATTGAATACTGGGCAAAGGGATTTCAATATATAATAAATTGCTTTCCCCTCTCCTTCCTGATAGGAGAATTTGTGTAGTTTCTACAACAGGACTAAAAAAAATAGGATAGTGTACTCCCTACCATGTCCATAATTTTGTTTCAGCACTTAAGTTACTTTATTGTGAAGGATTTTATTTTTCTTGGTCTTTTTTAATAATTTCAATAAACAAATTTGGAGAGTCATGTATTAATATTTAAATATACATAATAAAGCCAATAGAATGTAAGTTGTGATCATAATGCAGAGCAATTTATTATTGTTGCAATTTTCATGCTAATGAGTTTTTATTTTTCCAGGGACAGAACTGACTTTTAATTACAACCTTGATTGTCTGGGCAATGAAAAAACTGTCTGTCGATGTGGTGCCTCTAACTGTAGTGGATTCCTTGGTGATAGACCAAAGGTATAGCAATAATTTAATTAAATTCTCTTTTTTCTTTTAAAGCAAGGGCAATTAAATTGCATAGCAAGATGTGTGGCAAGATAAATTTCCTTAATGCATACTGGAAGATGCTTGTTATGTGGTACAAGTTAATACGCTCTCCACCCCACCCCACCATTAACTTTATTTGCTTCAAATAAATATGCCTTAATAAATGATGGCAGTTAGAAAGTTGGTCATTGATCAGTCCTAAAGAGAACAAAAAATTGGCAGTATTCTCATTTAATAATCTACATGACTAGAATAGGGAGAATATACAATTCTTAGTGTTTATTTGGAAGGTAGAGGCAAAGGTGGTTGGGAAGAAGCAACACCTAATTTTTCCCTACAGATTTTTAGAAGTATAATATTTCTTGTTGCTTAACTAAAGGTTACATATAGTTAATCAATTAACATTGCTATTTACTTTCTTGCTCAAGAATATGTATTATCATTGGGTCTGGCAAAGTTTAAAAAAAAAAAAACCATTGCCCAGCCAAAGCTACTCTACATGACCATCTAAGGTAAAAGTAAAGAACCTCTGGCCTGAGGGTCATTTTCAGCTCTTTATATAATGTCACCTGGTTTTCAGAGTATTGTTACTCAAATTACTTGTCCTGTAACCCAGAGATGAGGCTTTTAAATTGCTAAATTTAAATTGTGTTCTTAATTTTAGAAGTTGGTGAGTATAACATTTTATATGTTTACTTCTTGTAGGGAGGAGAATGGGATTGATAATGGAAAAGTAAAGCACTAATGTAAATTGTATTTATATTTGACCTTCAGTGTTTCCTTCTATGCTTCAGTTGGGAGACATGGCTTTGAGTCTAGGCTCCAACTCTGATAGTGAGCAAGTCATATCAACTCCCTGATCCTCAATTTCCTTTATGTGGTTGAGAGAAAAGCACTTTGTAAACGATAAAATGTGAATTTGTTGTCATTAGTTATTCTAAATGGAAGAAAAAAAAATTCTTCACCCTTTATATAATCTGTTAACACCTTTGTTGCAAGAGAGCTATCTCATCAGTTCTTACATTTGTTGCTTTTCAATTTCGTGGTTCCTCTTTCTAGTGTGTTAAGGTAAATTAATCCTAAGATGAGTAAGTTTTACATGAGATACTTTTTAAAAATTTTTTCAAACTGATTTAGTAACAGTCATTTTTAAAATTCCCCTCCTCCATATAGAATTTATCCTAGTTACTGTCATGTCCTAATAGGGAAATTTCTAAAATTTCTTCTTGTGATTTTGTATCTTTTGAATTATCAGCATTTCCTCTAACCTACCAATATGTTTTGTTTTTTCAGTTTAGAATGTGTTTTTTTTTCTTAAGTAAACACAACTTATTGTTTACCCTAGAACTCAGCTGCTCTTTCTTCAGAGGAAAAGGGCAAAAAGACCAAGAAAAAAACAAGGAGACGTAGAACAAAAGGTGAAGGAAAGAAAGAATCTGAAGATGATTGTTTCCGTTGTGGTGATGGGGGTCAGCTGGTACTATGTGATCGGAAATGTTGTACTAAAGCTTATCATCTCTCCTGTCTGGATTTGGTTAAACGACCTTTTGGTAAGTTAATTTATAACTGGATTCACACACATGTTGTCTTTCTAGAATGTTTTTTAAATTAACCTATTTGTATGCTTTCAGGTACTACTTTGACTTGATATGCTTCATCTTAATTTCATCATATTGCAAATACATTATTATTTATAGATAGGATGAAGAAAATGATATTGGTTTACAAAGACTCCTTGACTCTCAAGTCACTGCTTTTAACCAGTTAAACATTTATTTGCTTTCAGTTACAATAGTATTTTAAATACTTAATTTTATCCATCTTTTCTTTGTCAAGCACTTTGAGTGGTTTTGATATTCCTCCTTTGGTGTCTGTACGGTTAAGCAGTGATTCTTTGTAATTGTAAAATCTCATGAGTTGAAGGAATGTCCCAGATCATCTAGTTCAACTTTTCCTCTGAGGAATGAATTATCTCTATAATCTCCCACTAGCTGGTCATTCAGAGGGCTCCTCCTGACCTGAAGACTTCAAACAGTGATGGCTGCACTAGTCCTCAAGGCAGACCGTTCCATTTTGGAGATTTCTGGCTATTCTTTATATTGGGCTGAAGCCTGCTTCCTTGTGATTTATACTCATCGGTCCTGGCTCTGCCTTCTCAGGCCCCAGAAAATAACAGTAATCCTTTTTTCCACATGACATTCCTTTAGGTAGAGGGCTATCTTGTGTCTTTTCCTACCTCACTCCCAGTGAAGTCTGTTTCAAGTTATTAGATAGGTCAAGATATTAGAAAGATAACCTCTTTCATCCAATGCACATGTGGCTTAGTGTCAAATATTCCTGTCTCGCTCCTTTACCCACATTCCGTCTTGTCCAGATTCATTCCATGCAACATTCCCAGAACTGAACATAGTAGGCTAGCTGTCGTTTAACCAGGATGGAGAACTGCTAGATTGTTGCATCCTAGGTTCCAGGCATTTGACTTCTACTCGTTGTTGTCAGCTTACATTCACTGGAGAGGCCACAACTCGGTGCAGAGGCCTGTTCCTCCACTCCCATTCTTTTCATGTAAACTTTTGGCTGGCTGTATCTTCTCCCTTCTGTTCTTGGAGAACTAAATTATGTGGACCTGAATAGGCCTGTCAAATGATACAATCTGCCCATTGCTCCAGCTTATTGAAATTTTTTTCATTGATTTTTGTCCTCCGTTGTGCTCCACTTTTCCTCCTCCCTGTGTCACATTCCCGGTTTGATAAGCACTCCACCTTCTCCTGGATCTCAGTCATTGCTGAAAATAGTAAACAGAGTAAGGTGAAGTCAAAGTCCTGTGACCTTTCACTGGAAACCTCCTTGAGGGTGACATTTATCGGGTAATACTCCTTGTAATGTTCCACACCTTATGAATCTGCTCACTCTGGTCCTCATCCCTTCGCCTGGTCCGTGAGGATGTTTCCAGAGACAAGGCCACAACCTAGCTGGAACTCACCGCATCTGCCACGTGCTCCTGATCTTAAGGTTGTGCTAGCTACAGACCCTGTGGCACAGGGGAAACAGCCCTGAATGGTGTAGCCTTAGGGCCTGAACTCAAATCCTAGCTGTGTCACCAGGCCTCTACTTCCTCACTGATCGAAAGGTGAAGTTGGGTTCTGTGACTCTTAACGTTCCCAACTCCAGAGCTGTTCCCGGGTATTCCTTCTTCCTCTTCCCCTTCCCCTCCTCTTCCTCTTCAAGGTGGCACCTCAGTTTTGTGCAGAGATTTAAGGTGAAGCTTCCTCATCAGAGCTCTGTAAGGTAGGTTTGTCATACCCATTTTGCAAGTTTTGCAGAGTTAAGTGACTTGTCCATGGTCAAACAGTTTTATCTATGTCGTGCTGCCTTCCGTAAGGATCATAGCCTCACTTTCTAAACAATAAGAAATAGTCACTTTGATAAATACCTGAAATGAAGACTCATCATAGTTCATCATTTGGGGGCTCCCTCCAATGATAAAAAATGCCTCCTTCCCCCCACCCCCATTGAATCAACCATGTCCTCCTAAAAGTGCATCCCAGAAGGCCCACCCAGTGTGCTGGAGGCCTTCCTCACTGTTGCTATAGATTAGGCATCTTCTCTTTTTGTCATGCAAGACATCATCTTTTACTCGTGTTCTTTGGAGTTTGTTGGTTATATGTAACAAGCAGGCCTGCACAACATACAGCCCACAGAATGCTTGTGGTCCACTTATGTGGCCTGTGGGCCAAATGTTGTGCAGGCCTGTTTTACAGCCTTCTTACACCAACCACATATCTTTATATTGTCCTATTCAGAGTACACTATATACTTAGCACACTGCCTTGTTCACAGCAAGTGCTAAATAAAAATATGATTAAATTTAATGAGAAAAATAGATCCTTTTCTACGGATCAACATCACATGGTTATTAGCCATATACAGGTTCGAAAGTACCCTTTTTCCCACTAGATGGCACTGTTGAATCTTTAGGTGAAATTCTGACTTAAAGGACTGTGAAAGCAGCAAACTTCTGTGTGAAAATGGAAATACAAATCTTTTTTAGACAACATTGGCACAAAATAGACTGGCAAAGCAGTACAAAAATGAGTATTTGAGCCTAGATGTGTTTGTGTTTTATGAATACTTAAAGAATCAATCTTTCTACTATATTCAGTTCTATTTCAAGAGGATTTTAGGTACCTCAGTGATAGCAGAATCTGAGATGCAAAGAGACCGTCATCTATACTGCCCAGTTCATCCTTGAGCAGGAATACTTATTATAATAATTTTAAGAAGTGTTTCTTTAGCCCCTACTTGAAGACTTCCAGTTATGAGGAACTGGCTGCCTTGCTGTTCCCTTTTTTTTTTCCTGTTAAAATGTCTTATTGTTCAGTTAGCTAGTTAAAATAATAAGATACTATCGCAGGTATCAGTCTTTTTTTTTTTAAATGTCTTTATAACAAAATTAGTCATAAACATAGCCATTTGTTAGAAAATTTCAACTTGATCCCAAGGCCTTCCTGAATTCCAAATTCATAATTCCCTGAACTCCAGTTTTTTCTTTTAGATAAGTAAGTATTGTTTTACCCAAAGCTGTGTTTTAAGAAAAATCTGCTTTCTAGAAATATTTTCAAGAAAAATCACTATTTAAAACTACCATACTGGTTTAACATACCTTGCATACTTAATGCTGGTCCTCAATGAGAGCAATAAGTGGATAGATTTTGTGAAGATGCAGATGATTAGTTATGCATGTGATACAGCATTTTTAACTCATAAGAAGTGACTAGACTTCATCAGTGTCTGAGTCACAGACAGCACTATATTAAGAAATGTTATTCTACTGGAGTCCCTAAAATACTGTAGTTGTGGAGCACATAAAAATGCAAGTAACCAAGAGGCAACTTTCATCATAGATAAAAAACCTTTTGGAGGATTTGAGATCAAGTAGCATATACTGGGATTTTACCCTGGTCAAATCTTGTAAGCTTTCATTCCATGCCCTTAGGCAACTCTAAAATTAGGTGGCAGATCTAGTATTGATCTATATTGGTAGAGAGCATGTCCTCACCAGGAATTCCTTATATCAGTGAAATCATAGCTCTGGTCCAAAAAAAAAAAAAAATTAAGAAACCAGAGTGACTCCTTGGTGGGATCTTTGTGCCCTCACGGTTACTGTTATGATTGTGGCCTTTTTCATGGATCTTTGTTTAACTCATGATTTTTTTAAAAAATTAATTAGTATTTACTGATTAGTGCTACACCAAGGTTCTTTCAGTTGTTACACTGGTTTTTAAATTTGTCTTAAGTGAATTAAAGTGACACTTGGGAAGGCTGTCATATCTATGGAATTTGATGCATATGCCATTGCTATGATAATAAGAGCTAATTTCAGGCTTCTTTTGAAACTTCTTCTAGATGGTATCAATATATAGGCAAAAGTCTAAACTACTGACATTTTGTGTTTGGGGATTTAAAAAAATTCTAACATTTATGAATATTAATGTTTCATTTTTGATTGCAGGGAAATGGGAATGCCCTTGGCATCACTGTGATGTATGCGGCAAACCATCAGTTTCTTTTTGTCATTTCTGCCCAAATTCCTTTTGCAAGGACCACCAGGATGGGACAGTCTTCAGCACCACACAAGATGGACGGTTATGCTGCTCTGAACATGAGTTTGGAGTGGAATCTATTAGAAACCCAAAGACTGAGAAACCCTTCCCAGAACCAACCAAGTTGAAGCCCAAAAGAAAGAAAAGAAGGTGTTGGAGGAGAAAAACAGAGTACAAATAGTGACAGACTTCAGGGGTTTTGTGTGTTTGTGCGTGGTTTTTTTTTTTTTGTTTGTTTTTAACTGCCAACACTATCTTGTAGATACAAGGGTCTATCTTGTGAATAGGGTCGACGAAGGACGCAGTTTTACATATCTAATAAGTGTACAGGTTTCATTTTGGGGGAAAGCATTTTTAAATCCACTGAGCCATCTCTAGCAGTTTCTGCTGTATCTGCACTGATAATGAATTGTGATATACACAATTCAGAATTTTTCAGGACAAACAAAACTTATTACACAACATTACAGTTACACTTGAATTTCTAAGAATGTAATGGTTCCCTCCTGCATTTGGGGATAAAAAAGGCATGACTGAAAAAATTTGACGCCTATTTTCCACTTCACCTGAAAGGAATGTGAGGTGGAAAACCATATTTTCTAAAAGAAAACACTTTTAGTGTTTAACAAAAATAGCTTGACCTTTGCTCAGTGTCTTTATTCAAAAGATACCACAGTAATGTCTGTTTCAAAGGTTTTAACTTGGTTTCCTCTGAAACAGTGAGTTTGGTCATCTCTCCTGCTTTTATAAAAACAGCAAACTGTAAAACTTTTTTTGTTAATGTGAAATATTTTCTCAGAAATGTATATCCCTTTATAAGGAGAGGAGCACCCTAGGATAGTGAGGGGGGGAATTTTAGAGGATTTTTTTCATATTCTTTTTTTTTCCTATTTATAGATTACAACTAAAATATAAGTAACACTTTAGTCTTCAGAGCTGTAAGAGTCTCAAACTTGGAACAACAACTTTTCCTAAAATGGCCACCGTGGTGAAAATCCTATCACCTCTTATGGGCATATCTTTTGAATGCACAGTCATCTTGTCATCATTCTTCACCATTTTGGGAAAACGCTTTATATGTTTTTTTATTTGGTTTTTCTTTAATGATTTTTTTATTTTGGCTTTTAATCTCAAAATATATATTTGCTAAGCCTCATTTCACAAATTATTACTAATTGAAATGTATGTTTATTGATGATATCCTGATTTTTCATTACAAAAAAATGTGAACTTGACTATTATAGGGACATTAGACCTGCCATGTGTATGTTTCTATTTAGACTAAAAAGTGAAATAAATAATTGAGGGAAAAAATGATTTTATGTACTGTTTCCTGCCCCATAGGTGTTTTGATATAAGGATGGGCAGAGTTGCTAACAAATTCTGACCTGTGCAATCATGATCCAACCCAAATGCCCCTAGTTTATGCCCATTTAATGTTTTATACGTACTAGCATAGTTTGCCTTTATAGTGCAGATCTGTTATGTAGCCCTTTAAAAAAATGAAGCATAGTCTATCATAAAAATGTATATTTTTTCAAAACTATTTTTTCAGGGTTTGAAAGATTTAGATTTTAGAATTATTGATGATTAAAGCTATTTCCATTACATGCAAATTTTGTGGGTCTTTTTTCATTTAATTGAATTGATACTGGTCTAAAATATGCCATTATCCAACATTATAATATGAAAGCATTTGGTGGGGGAAGCTGAATAATTGTTTTGCTTTGATTGTGGATCAAAATTTATAAACAATGAGGGGAAGGCTAGCTTTCCCCTCCATTTCTTTTCTCTGTTTCAAGTTATGGTTTTTTAAGATGGGACAAGTCTTACACTGATTTCCATTGTGAGATTTTTTTTTTCTTTATTTCTATTTTTTCAACAAGTAAAAGAATACCCAGCCATGGCGTAATATTTGAGAGATAATAAGTTCTCTTTTTTTAAAGTTTTTTTTCCTACTCTGAGAATTCATTCTGATATTTGGAAGTTTGAGGTATAAACTCCAAACAGCTCACAGTTTATTTCTTGTCCCTCTATTCCTTCTCTCTCATTCTATCCAAGGTTATTTGGTGTAAAAGAAGGGAATTAGGGGTATCACAGGGGATAGCAAGGTGACTGAATGGGAAAAAGTAAAGAAGAAAGTGACCATCTCTAACAACTTTTTTAAAGAATAAAGGAAATACTTGAGAAGCAACTACTTTTAACATCTCCTGAGAATAAAATTCATCTTGAAAAGGAATTTACAAAAACCCACTTTTGGTAATGATAGTTAAGAAAATTGGAAAGTCATGTGGATTTTAAAATTCAATTTTACTGTATTCTTTGCTTTATTAGATTGCTATGTATCACTGGTTATAAGAAGTAGAAGAACATTGTACCTATCCATTTTGTAACCTGGCAGGTTAACATCATTAGGCACCTCATAGATGACTAGTGTTTCTCTACAGAAACTGCCAAATGTTTGAGAGGTACACCATGGACAGATAGACCTGGTTATCGCTTGTTAATCATATTTGGCTTTTCTTAAAGCTCTTTTTGGAGCATGAGGGGAGGCCATCAAAGTATGCATTACATTTGCCCAAGCCCTGTAAATATTAACCTGCCTGGGGATATGTAGCCGCTCTTTAACAACTTTGTTGAATACTGAATGTTTAAGAAAAAACTGACTTCACTGTTGGTTAACTGTGGTGCTGTTCCCTGACCTCACTGCTTCCACCCCCAACTAAAATACATGTATGTGTTCCTAAAAGACGTTTTGGGGCACTTAGTGGCATTAACATTCTACATATTTATGTTGTTAATTTCTAGAAATTATATTCATTCGATGGAAAATTGTTACCTAGATGATTTTCCTTTTAGAATTAGCCTCTTAGAAGGCAGATGTAAAGGATTTGTTCATGAAAATAATATGCACCTTATCCCCTAGAACTGAAAAGATGTTATAAGGTAAAGGACCTTACCATTTTTCTTCTCTTGGAATTCAAGCATCATGCAAAATACTGTGTACCAAAAACCAAATGTATCAAATGATAGAATTAGCCAAGGCCTATTAATTTAGCAAAATAATAATCAACTTTAAGAACTTTAAAATGTATTATTATAGACCTACCTACCTATTGTAAAGGTGGCTGGCTATTTTCTTAACAAAATTTGGATTGTTTTTAATCAGTCAAAATATGGTATTTCCTCCTCCTAATTGTTGGCCAAGCTTTGAAACATTATAGTAAGTAAACTGTCAGCAGTATTTTTAACACTAAGAAGTACATTCTGTTGGCCTCATTTTAGTTTTTCCAAATTATTTTATGATCTGGGTTAGAAAGTTTCTAAAAAGGAATGGTCCTTTTTTTTACAGGTTTCTTTCTCAAAGTGATTCTTTTAAAAAAAAATGAATTTTCTACATTGTAATTTTCCACATGTTTATATTTCAGAGTAAGGCCACAAACATTGACAAAATGAAATTTTATTTTTTGAATAAAAGAACTAGTTATAGCACAAGTTAGCTTTTTTAAGTTAATATTTCAAAGTTTTCACTTAATTGGTTCTCAGAGAATTTTGGGAACGTTTATAGAGATTTTGATTATGACTGCCCAAAAATCAGCTTCCATCTTTTGGGTGCTTCTATCTTTGAATTTCTTAGAAGAAAAAAAAAAAGTTAGGATATTACTTTAATCTTTTGGCACCAGGGATTGACAAAGGGTCTGAAGTTAGATTTTACAAATATGCAAAAGCTTACCCAACCATCTTTAATCAGACTTATTTTAAAACCAGTCCTCTATCAAGTATCCAATCCTAGTCCCAAATATATGCCGTCTCAGGCCTTTGTAAGTTAAGATATAGATACTACTCTAGACTATTGTACAGATTACAACTCTTTAGTTAATGAATTTTCCAGTTGGGACATATAATATTTGTGGGATAGTTGGGTCTTTTTAAACTTTTAATAAAATTGTCCAGTCCTCTAAACAGTTGAATATAATTGAATACAGTTGCATTTTTTGCTTATATCCCAGTTACATGAAATGCTACGCTTTTCCTGGATGTTCATCTATAATTATATTAAGGACTGCATGCTCAGGTTTGAGTTTGTGGAATTTTTTGAAGTATTTACCCTGATGAGCCCAAGGTATATACATTCCCCCAACTTTGAGACTATTATTATTTTCAGGAAATTAAATGAATGTTAATGCAAAAGACTTTGTATCAGTTACCAAATATCTTCATCCTATGTGAAATGAAACCTGCATGGTACTATATGAATGTTGGGAAAAATATAGTCAGATTTTTGTACAACCCATTTTTGCTAAATGGTGTATAAGTTCTACCCTGTTGAGATGTGAAATAATATTGTTAGAAACAACAAAAAAAAAGTTATGATGTTTTTGTTTGTTTGCTTCTAAACAAGTTCCATTTACAGTGATGTCAGGTATTAGAAAGTTATATGAATGTTGGATGATGGCCCCAAATTTAATTTGTTAGCCTAGGAATAAATACTTTATTTGGGGGACATACTGAGATGTAGAGTTTTTGAATTGCCTAACATTGGAGGGGGAGGGAGGGGAATGGAAGAATAGCTTTTAAAGGGGAAACTTGTGTTTGAGAAAAGTGTGTGATTATTTTTCTGTATAAAATGAAGAAGAGGTTTGTCTTCAACCTTCTTTTCTACAGAAGTCTGTTTGATGTTTTTAATTGTCTTTTGACTATTTTTATTACTTTTTATTAGGACTCAAATGCTACTGACTCAGTGTTTTTCATCCCAAGGATTCTGGTATAAATGACTAAATTAAAAGTGTTGTAAGGAAAAGTTTCCAAGGAAGTTTTGTCACTTGTCAGTCAGTGCTTTAAAATCTAAATTAATTTGAGAAAGAATCCTCAACCTGTACAGAATGCCAGCATTTACAAAGGCAGATATCATTGGTCCTTTAAGAAGAATCACTTTTTGGGACAAAATTTAAAAGGCCTTTCTGTTGGGGCAAGGTGAAACTGAATGATAAAGGTCCCAGAAACTCCTCTAATTGGTTGTGACTAGACTCAATTCTCAGTTTCCAAACCATGCTCTAGAACTCTTTACAAAATTATCCCTTTATTTACCTTGTTTACTACAACATATGTGGCAAAAATTAACCCCATTTTATAGCTTGGTGCATGGCATTGTCAACGCTTGCAGAGTTCTGTATCCCAGACATGTTCTGCACATGTTCCTTAGACTCATAACAGTGCCAATAAGTATAACTTTTCTACTTGGGCTATTATATGTGGATTACTGTTTTATTTTGGAAAAATGTAATTTTATAGTCAATTTGGTTCAAGAAGTACTCATTAAAGGTGAAATGTTCACATACCAAAGACCTAATTGGAATTGTTTTTATTACCATTTAATCCAGACTTTTCAGAATTTCAGAAGTTACAGGGATCAATTGAGCATCTATTAAGGGGGCACCATATAGGTCCAGTGTGTAAAGTGTTTCAATTAATCAAAGATTTTCCAAGTTGTCTGAGTTAGTCTGCTCACTGTCCCATTTATAATATTGTTCTATAAGATTAAATTTCCTTGAGTTTTTCACACACAAAAAAATACAAGCATTTATCATATGCTTACTCTCCACCAGGTGCTGTTCTAGGTTCTAGGGATACCAAAGACAAAAATGAACCAATCCCTGTTCTTCTGTAGCTCTCATTCTGTCAACAGAGATGTGTACCTAACTACATACAGAGTTATACAAAATAAATGGAATATTGAGCATATGGTAGGGCTTGGGGAGATCAAGAAAGGCTTTGTGTAGAAGTGAGTGCTTAATTGGTCTTGAAGCATAAGGATTCTGAGGCAGAGATAAGGAAGTACTTTTAAGGAATGGTCAGTGCCAGGCCATGGAACCATGTGGTGCTTTGTGCGAAGAACAGATGGCCAGTTTGGCTGAACCAGCAGAGGGCAATGTATAATGAAATAGGAAATACAGGCTGAGAGCAATTTATCAAAGCCAATTTGGACTTTAAAGGCCAAACAGGAGTTTGTTTTATCTTAGAGGTAATAGGGGGCTACTGGAACTTAAATAGAATAAATAGGAATAAATGGAAATAAATATTTAGAGGGATGATATCTGGGCTTAAGGAAAATCACTATGGCAATTGTGTGGAGTATTAGATTGGAGATCAATTAGGCCATTGCAATAGTCAGGCAAGAGGTGATTAGGGCCTGAAATAAGTTGGTGACTATGTCAATAGAACTGCTTGAATGGGATAGATGTTGAAGTAGAAATGGTAATATTTGGTAATTGATTGGATATGCAGGGTGACGGGAAAGTAAAGAATTGAGGATACCACCAAAATTATAAACTAGGAATAGTGGTACCAAAGTCTCGTTACTGAAGTAAACTCATAGAATTGCTGAGAAAACTAGAAAACAAGTCTGTTAAAAAATTAGACTAATACCTTACAGCATATACCAAGATTAGCTCTAAATAAATATACAACTTAAATAATAAAAGATCACATTATCACATTATAAGCAAATTAGAGGAACAAGAACATTTCTTTTTGGATCTATGGATAAAGTGAAGAATTCTTGATGAAACAAGGGATCATAAAATAGAAAATTTTGATTACATGTAATTTAAAGATTTTGGGGGCAGCTAGGTGGCGCAGTGGATAGAGTACTGGCCCTGGAGTCAGGAGGACCTGAGTTCAAATTCAGCCCCAGACACAACACTTACTGTGTGTGACCTGGGCAAGTCACTTAACCCCAATTGCTTAGCCCCCTCCCTCCCCAAAAAAGGATTTTGAATCAATACAACCAATGTAGCTAAAATTGGAAGGCAGACAACAGGCAAGAAAAAAATCTTTAAAACAAGTTTCACTGATAAAGGTCTGATTTATAAAATATTCAAGGAATTGATTAAAATTTGTAGGAAGAAGAGCCATTCTCCAGTTGATATGGTCAATGGATATGAATAGGAAGTTATCAAAGGAAGAAATTCAAGTTATCAGTAGCCATATTTTTCAGATGCTTTGCATCATTAATAGAGAAATGCAAATTAAAGCAACTCATGTTCCATTTCAGACCCACCAGATTGGCAAAGATTTTTTAAAAAGGAAATGATAAATGGTGGAGGGGTGGCAGGAAAATGAGTGCATTCCAGTCATTCTGGAAAGTAATTTGGAACTATGACCATTTATTTTCTTCCCCTCCTATCTACATACCCTCTAATGGGAGGGAGATAATTAAATCCTTGCTAACTGAAAAATAGTTTTTAAAAAGAGTAATGATGCCCTCAACAGAAATAGGAAGTTCAGAGGGATGGATTTTGAGGGAAACGAGTTCAGTTTTGGACTTGTTGAATTTAGGCTATCCAGTTTGAAATGTCCAATTAACAGCTTGTGCTGTGTCAGAGAGACAGACTGGGGCTAAGACCATGGGTCTTTGAGTTACTTGGTTAGAGGTGACAAATCCATGGGAATTGAGGTTAATGAAAGAAAGTATAGAAAGAATAGGACCTAGGACATAGCCTGGGAGATGTGACATGGATGATAAGGAGATTGAGGAGTGGTCAGGTAGAAGGACCAATAGAGGATGGTGTCATAGAATCTCAGACTATCCAGAAGATGGTTAACTGTAATATTTGCTGCAGAGCTATACAGAAGGATGAGGATTGAGAAGAAAGCATCAGATCTGGCAATCAAGAGATGAT